GAGGCCGCGGGGGTGTCGGAGAAGCTGGGGCTGTGCGGCGGGGTCATGCACTGCAAACAAGTCCAAACAGCGGGAGACAGAGATTAGTCGGCCGCCGGCGCAGCTCACACCACGCCGTCGCCATGGCGTTGCTTCCTCACGGTCCCGATAACATCAGCCATCCTTCCTCAAGGTAAACAGCCAGGCAGGGAGCAAACTCTGACTTTGAACTGCTGCCCAGCAGAGTTCAGCCTGGGATACACCGCCGAGTCCAACCCAGTTCGCCGGATCTGAGCCCAGCCTCAGAGCAGAGCGCTCACAGGACAAACTCCCACCGACCTACAAGCTCGCCCGCCTGCAGACCCCCCAGTCTGAAAATAAAAACCAGAAGTACCTGGCCTAGCTACGACACAAACATGGGCGGAGCGGTGCTCCTGTGGCTCAGGACCTGCGCCTGTGGCTGGAAAGGTTGCCGGTTCAAATCCCACAGGTGGCAGAGGAATCCTACTCTGTTGGGCCCCTGAGCAAGGCCCTTCACCCCAACTGCTCCAGGGGTGCTGTACAATGGCTGACCCTGCGCTCTGACCCCCAGCTTCTCTCCCTGTCTGTGTCTCAAGGAGAGCAAGCTGGGGTATGTGAAAAGACAAATTCCTAATGCAAGAAATTGTAAAGGGTTGTAAATTGTAAATTGTAAAGGGTAAAGGGTTAAAGTGATGTTGTTATTATTATTAACATCTAGCCAGTGTTTTACTGGAACCCAGCATCCAGGGAAAAAAAGAGGAGGAGGAGAGAGAGAGAGACCACCTTTCCTTACCAGCGAGGAAAAAGACACGAAGTCTCTGGGCCCGGGGCCGTCCAGCGGCGCGTCCGTGTGCAGCAGGGAGTCGCAGGAGTCGGAGGCCGGGGTGAGCGGCCGGGCCCGGCAGGGCTCCGTCCTGTGCGCCCTCTGACCCCAGGCGCTCATGCACACCAGCGCCTCCACCGCCTCCAGGTCGGTGTGCTCCAGCGCACCGCTGGCCGAGGACTGCTCGCTGTCGTGCCGCTTCCTCTCCATGATGGACTCGCAGATGTCCATGATGCCGGCCTGGGCAGGGGAGGCGAGACAGGGTTCGGGCGGGTCAGGGTTTTGTTTCGTTTTCTCACCGTGAGTTTTTTTTTTTTAAGTTTTTATTCCCACCCGAGGTATCGTTTCAAGGGGTCTGTTCCGCAACAGCCCGCTTGACTTCTATCCCCTCTGTGATACAAGCCAAGGAAAGACCCCCTCCCACCCCCAAAAAAAAGAAAGACATGCATTTTTAATTTAAAAAAATGAAAATGAGTTCTTTGGGGGCACGAAGACGAGATCAGCAAACACCTATAACGTTTTATAATTCTGTTTTGCCGGCTGGATTACGGTCTGCCAATCGCGGGCCGTGTAAGTGCATAACTGTCAGTTAAAAGCCACAACAACTCTGTAACATAACCGGCAGCATCTGAGCGATCAGCTTCCGATGGCCGTCATAAAAAAAATAAATAATTATGAAGTGGAAAGCGCTGCCTCTACTCCAACCCCGCCTCCCTCCTGACATAGCGGATACTCCGCGGCGCGGGGAGCCGCCCATCGCCAAATAAGGAGCGCCCGGTGACGTCACCCCGCAGCCACCCCTGCCAGAGGCACGGGCGCTCTGCCCGCGCGGCGCGGGGGACCTCATCGCTTTCCCGGAAGTAAGTGCCTGCCTGCCTCACCTGCCTCACCTGCCTGGAGACTCGGCCCAAGCCACTCCCCGAAAACTCAAGGCACACGCAGAACTAGCCAAACCAAAACAAGCAGGCGTCTTCCCTTGCGCTAGGGACGCGCACCACTGCAAAAACAAAAAAGCGTACTGCGTACTCGAGCGTTACGGTCTTGTGAAGAAGTGGCACATGTTCGCCGAGACGG